TACGACACATCTATATACACACTGTCACAGATACTCGTCTTTGAGTGAAGATTTAAGGTGACAGGAAATATAAATAACTGCAACTTGAACCTTTGACACAGAGTTCAAGCTCTGCTGTAATATATCATAATAATCTGACAATACTATAATATTGTCCATATTATATTTACATTACCACAGTGAGATGACTTTAGTCTCATGAACAACATCAGCTAATTGTTATTTACTAGCTAATCTTAAATGAGTGTTCAGTGCAGACATGAAGCCCAACAATCATGTTTCAGTCTCGTGGTCTCAGCCTCAGATACTCAGCTGATCTCATAAAAAACAAAAACACATTTGTTCTCCTTCATTTCTGTCACACAAAGCTGTATGAAACGTTTCCAGCTGTTAGTATCATGGTTGCTAGGCAACATGAGCAGCGCGACGAAGGCCAGACCGTCCCGTTTCACGAGCCTCGTTCTTCTGGCCTTCTCGCACTTCAGAGTACCCGCCCCACGTAGTCTGCGAAGTGCGGGTACTATGAAGTGTGCAGTTGCTGGATTGGGACACAGCTTGAGTTATCGGGAGGACTCAGGAGGAGAGGGGAGGGGCGAGGGGGAGGAGTTACCTTGAGGGTGAGGACGTGCAGGTATCCGTTGGTGCCTGTGAGCAGCAGAGCGCCTCCTTCAGGACACACGGAGAACTCCTTCACTCGAGCTTCATTCAGACCTGATGACAAACAAACATGCTCTTAATTTGAAATCCCGGGAACCTCCTCCTCCCTTGACCTCTGACCCCGCCTCACCTCTGACGGTGTGCACAGGTGAGACGCGGCCCTCCATCATGTCGTACAGGTAGAACATCTTGTTCTTGAGGCTGGTGGCGATCACCGTCTCCCCGTCCACGCTGAACTGCGCCTTGTGGACGGGGAAGCGCTCCAGGTGGATGCTCTGGATCTTCGGGTTCGTCTTCCCGTCCACCTGAAGAGGAGGAAGGTCAAAATCACGTGACCCCTCCCACCTGAGCCTAACACCTGAGCAGAGAGGCTCGACCGTACCTGGAACAGGGAGACGGACTGGTCGAGGCCGGCCGTCATGACGACTTGAGCGCTGGGGTGGAACTGGACAGTGGTCAGCCTGTCCTCAGACGGACGGGTGCTGTTGGCGTGGAGACACTTCTTCACCTGATTACGAACGCAGAGACGACAGGAAGTCAGACCGATGTTTTAACGAGTGCTCGTCTGTGTGTGTTTATAACAAATGACAGCATCAAACTACTTCACCTGTGAGCTACAGAACATAAATCAGCTGTTTTTCTAATGGAGTCTGGCAGGAAGCACGCCACAGGTTTTACATGAACCCTTCAGCTTCAGTCTGAGGACGGGGTTTTGCATCGACAGCCAGAAAGCCACATGAACTCACTCATGAACAGCAGAACAGAAAATTAGCAGATTTTGAATGGAGTCTGGCAGAAAATGACCTGAACCAAGTTTGGAAGCTGAGCCTGAAACTGCTGTGCAAGAGAATCTAAAATTCAGAGGATTTTAAATGAAGTTTGGTGGCAAAAATGTCAGTAAACAGCCGTCCGACTTCACTTTATTAATCTGTAAAAACAAACAAAATTCAAGTGAAGAGCTCAGAATTCACTCGAAGCGCCGTGAGGCATCAAACATGTTTTTAACAAAGCCCATGTTAGCATGTTGCTCTTGACGAAGGCGGTCGCATTTTTCTCCTCTCCCTTAGCTTCCCTGCTTAGCCTCTTGTGTCCTTGTCTCGTCTCGTGTTTGTTGTATTACTTTCCCTGAACACTCTCTCACAGTCTGTTCTCTAAAACCTAAAAGAGAATTATGGATTTGATCAACTGGTCCCTGAATGCAATCAACACCCCTTTCTCAACGAGAAGTTTGGGCTCGGGTGAGCCTGAGTGCTGAAGATATCTACCTATTCGGAACCATGGTAACAGGGTTCTGGCTGATCGGAGCTGGCTTGGCCCTGACTTATCGAAGAATTAAGGAAGCGGAACCGGCTGTTCAAACCCCCACAAGGCTGCCCGCTGGGATTGAGACGATGGGAGAGGCGTGACTTTCTCAAAATGGGCTCATTGAGTCAGCACGGAGAAGCTCTTGGAGAAGCTACGGCTGCCATGAACACTCAGAACAAGAGCTCTGAGTGAAAAACTGGATTACATCTGGAGGGGCTCGCTCGAATAACACCTCTGAGCGCAAATTCGATCACATCTTGGGGAAGTGCACTGCGGTCGCGAGTTCTCAGAACCTGCTCTTTGAGCAAAAAGAACGACAACATCACGGAACGCAAGTTTGATAACATCATGGAGAAGCTCGCGGCTCTCCAACGGGAGATTGAGAGACCAGTGTTGGACTGTAGAACAGCTTTGAAATTCATACGAGCTGTTCGCACTAAAGTAAAAAGCACCATCACTTCATGAGGAGACCCCTTTGGCGTCAGCTGCGGTTGCAAGGCTGGAGCCGAACAACAACACCCTGATAACGACTGTGTTTAGTCTGTTCCTTCCCATTCCATGCAAGCCCACCTGGGTTGGCTGGAAGACTGTTTACTTAGCCTAGCAGGGCGAAGGACACTGTGTCAGCTGAGCTCTGGACACACGCACACGCACACACATACACACACACGCACACACACACGCACACGCACTGATATGCACACACTCATCCCCCCTCCCTTTCCAAACGCCTTCGACGCTTGTTCCCTTCCGATGCTGACGGTGGATCATGGAGACCAGCGCACGCAGGCCCGGATGTGCTGTCTACACTGGCTGTCTCTCACCTTTACCCCCCTGTTGCTTGTCATATGTTTCTTTGGTGTATTTAGAGTGTTTCATGTGCAGAGGTGTTTTTTTCTGTTCTCAGACTGATCTCCCTGTTGGAGCTCAGTCTGGGGAGAGTTATTTTTTCTCCTTATCTTTCCTCGTGTGGTGCATTTTCCATGTTATACCTCTCTGACCTGTCTTCCCCATGTGATGTTTGTGTCATGTATGTATGGTCGGAGGGTAAGATGGCGCCACCATTGCGTGCAATATGTCGGCAGCCTTATGAAATTTCCCCTTGTGGGACTAATAAAGGTATATCAATCACACAGTCACTGCTGCTAAAATGATCCATATTCTGAATGGAGTCTGGCAACCACGTCACACCAGATTCAGCAGATGTTACAAAGCCTCACATCCTGTTCTCAGACACAAACTTATCCCAGCACCGGTGTAACACTCATCGCTCTGTAACATTACCTACAGCAAACACGTAAAATGAGCAATATTTTGAATGGAGTCTGGTGGAACAGCCTGACAGACAAACAGAAGCCTGCTGGACTCACTGACCCTCAGGATGCCGCTGGGCAGGCTGTCCGAGGACGCCACAAAGTTTCCCGTCCTCCTCAGTAGGTCATCCTCCTCATCTTCATCCTCCTCATCTTCAGGAACACAGAGATGCAGAGTCTGAGTTTCTGTCGACTGAAAACACTCTTAAAATAATAAAAACATTTTAGATTCTACCTCTCCTCCTCCTCCTCTTCTGGTCGCTGCTCTCCGCCCATGATGGCGTTCCTCCCATCGCCTTCTGGAACCTGAAACACGCAGCACACGTCCAGGTGTGTTTATAGGTGTGTGTGTGCGTCTGTGTGCGTGCATACTCACTGCTCCCTCATCCTCTGCTGCAGTTTCTGTTTGGTCATGGTGGACTCTGCCTCGCCTTTCATCAGGTTTCTACGGAAACGGTGCTTCATGTCCACCCTGAAACACACCAACACCTCAGCATCATCACGCGAGTCTTCACTCACCACAATCATCTTTGTTTTCCCGCTTTCAGCCTAAAACACGTCTTATTGTGAAACACTCACTCTTCCTCCAGCTCGTCATCCTCGTCCACCCACGCCGCTTTCTTCTCTGCCTGCGGCTCCTTCCGCATTCCACCCTCATCCTCAGACTCCTTTGCCTCCTCTTCATCTTTGTCCTCCAGCAGCAGGAGTCCGGTTTGGTCCTCGTCCTCCTGCTCAGGGAACAGGAAGCATCAGTGAAAAACCAAAACCTGACCTGAACCCAGCACGATTCATCACCAAGCTCCACAAACCAGACTCCATTCAAAAATTCACCCAGTTTTACAGCATCGTTCAAACGGGAGGTGACCTGACATTAAAGTGTTTCACCACAAAAACTCTTCTTCACCTGGTGCTCAGTTATTCAGCGGGTCTAAGCCAAAGTCCTACACAGTCGTCTTCGTCTTATATATACAAAAGTTTCAGCTTCTGAGCAGGGAAAGAAAAACAAGACTTTTTTTAAATGGAGTCTGGTGGTAGATAACTGTCAGCCTGGTTCACACACAAACAGAGGCAATCTAAATTAGAAGACTTTTAAATGGAGTCTGGCGGTAAACCCAAAGGTTTAATGGTTTGTTGGAAAACTTCGTAACCTTAGTTTTCAGAGTAATATCTGCTCATGCGCACGAGAACAAAAGTCAGGGATATTTTGAATGGAGTTTGGTTCATACAAGTTAAGCTTGAACAGATTACAGACATCGTGGCTGTTATTTAGCCAGCCGAGTTTACCAGAAACACCCCGCAAACTTTTGTAAATGTCAAACTTTGTCTTTACGTAAACAGTTTTGTGCCTGTGCAAGAACATTTGAAGCCGACCGCAGGAAACAGAGTTTTTCAGTTAGCAAAGATTTTCGTGCCTTTTCTTTCAGGTCAGTTAAACCGAATTTACCACAAATAACTGCGTTTCATGAGAGTTACGGCAGCTCGGTCTCAGAGGCAGAGGTTTCCAGTTAGTGTCCAAAAAAGTTTAAATGAGCTGTTTTTTTAAACCGTCTCTGGTGAGAACGTCACCTCCACGAGTCTCTCCAGCAGCTCCTCCTCGGCCCCGAACACCAGCTCCTCCAGCAGCTTCACCGAGCTGTTCTTCTCCCCCAGCACCGCCAGGTTCTTTACGTTCCTCCGCCGCTCCTCCTCTTCTTCCACCAGGCTAGACTGCGGGAGTTTCGTCCTCTTCTTGGCCGGCTGTTTGCCCTCATCGGCCGGCAGCTTAATGAAGCTCATGTCCTCCATGTTTGTTCTGTCCTCTGCACCAAACTCCAATCAGAAAACTGCGACTTTAAGCCAGCCTCACAACACTTGTAATCCTTTTCTTAGCATGAAGCAGACTGTGTTGCACATGTGGAGACTGAGAGACCAGTGCGTGTTTTTTTTTCCCTCACTCGCAGTGCAATCACGTGCTTCCGGTGAGATGACCTCCGAACCCGAAAAAAATAAAGTCCGCCCCCTAGTGATTGAAAGCAGAAATGCCAAAAAGAAAATAGATTTTTAGTTTTTAAACTCTAAATGTAAACTCAGTCTCCACATAAATATCAAATAATATAATTACTGAATTAATTTTCTGTTTTTTCTAAATGATATTTATTTTCTCAAACCCTATTTCATGTTTAGACTGCTGCTAAAAAATGTGATTTTTGAGCTAACTTTCATGTAATTTCTACACACCATCAGATTTTATAACAGAGCCATAGAAATATTGTGTGAGGAGATGAGACAGGACACAGAGAGTCGCTGAGGAGTTTATTGAGAGCAGAGGAGCATGCTGTTAAACTGGGACTGAAGGTTCAGCCTCAGTGAAGCTGCAGGACAGCCCGACACTATCGTCACTACAGTTACCATCACTACCACCACCCTGCAGCACACGGGTCGCTTTGTTACAGCTTTTAGTAGCTTCTTTACAGAGTCTAACTGTGTGTAAGGCAGAACAGACCAGGCATGGGGCAGGAGGCTCTGCTGCAGTTCAAAATGCATCATCAAAGAACACAAAATCAGACAGTTTGCTATAAAATGGAACGAAGCGTGCAGACTGAGCCGCATTCTGCTGCTGCAGGACCGCAAGCGAAGATCCAGAGAAGAAGAAGAGCGGAAATCTGCTCTGACAGCAAACACCTCAAACCTGAGCACCACATCAGATTCAGTCTCAAACCGCTCATGGGTGACGTGACCAGGATTCAGGACGCGACGGGAAAAAGGCTTCATGTGAAAAACAAAACGAGTCATCGAAAATGAACGTACGTTTAAAAACACCAAAACAGTCACAAGAAACTGGAAACATGAGTGTGACACGGACACGTTAGAGAAAACGAGGTAAATGAAAACATCCTGATTTTACACGTTAGTTTCTTTTTCAGCTTTATCAAAGAAATGTAATCTGACTTCATTTCCAGAAATCTCCTCATTTTCTCTAAATGTCATTTTATTATTTTAATCAACTCGAGCATTAAATCAAAATTAATTTCAGAGCTTTTTTAAATTAAATGTTTTATCCCATCAAACATTAAAGCATTTCTACTGACAAATTATTCCAACAACTTTCATTGGTATCATTTTTACTTGTGTGAATCTTCATCGGGACTTCTCGACTTCGTCGCTCTCAGATTATTTTACATCGTCAGCTTCCTGATTTGAACCTCAAACAAAACTCAAGATTCAGCTCCTGAAATCAGAGCGAGTGTCGACCTGCTGCTCACACCTGCGCGCTCTGCATCATGGGTAATTATTTAACACTTTAAAAAAAGAAATGTGCTCTCTCACGCACACACAGCTCAGATAAAGACAACATGCACCAGGTTTAGTCTGTAGTTAGAGGGAAGAAAAAAGGAAGGAAGTCCTCGCTGCAGGTGGGAGACTTCCAGTCTGTCTGTGATGGTTTGTTCCATCACCCCCCCCACACAGTCCACAACATGGTATAACCTGCTGATGACCTGCAGCAGGAGTCAGCTGATCCCAGATGAGTTACTCCCACTTGGCACTTAAAGACCCGCCTGCTCACGGACCAGCTCCAGTCTCAGTAAGAGGTCAATGACATCACCACGGCAGGTGACGATGACGAAGCAGTTACGCTGCCATCGTGTCTCCTCACACAGGAAGTGAGTTCCGTTCAGGTCCCGATCCAGCTTCTTACAGGAAACATGAGTTGAAGCCTCGTTAAAAGAGCGACTCAATGTCTCGTCATGGTCTCAGGGACACCACGAGTCTCCTGTCAATCAGCTCCTTGTAGAAGGTTTCCTAAAACGCCGAGCGGCTCCTTTCAGCTCATTCACTGAGTGACTTTGTTCTTGTGTCCTGCGTCCGTGCAGACGTCTGTGAAAACAAAAAGTGCTGGTGCAAAACTAAAAACATGAAAACGGTGCAGAGAGGAGGCTCAGCGCCTCCAGAGCTTCACATTTATCTCGGAGGACTCGTGCACGGACGTTCTGGCCCTTTAAATCAGGCTCCTCAGTGCTTCCTCCCGCCATCTCTCTGAGACTCGTCAGTCTGTCAGACCTCTCTCAGCCAATCAGCTGTGAGCATAGATGAGGCAGCGATGGAGAAGGCGAGGATGACGAAGCCGGAACGCCGCAGACTTCAGACAGGATGATAGATGTAAGGTGTGTGTCTCTGTGTGTCTCTGTGTGTGTGTGTCT